AAAAAATTCAAAAATATAAATACTGCGATAAACACGCTAAGCGAGATTCACTAACTCTCTTAATACTTCAATTTCATTTAGTCATATCTACAGTAAATACATCGAATCAAGCTCGTTCTATTCAGGACCAACTGTACGTGTTAGCCGCGGATTTAAGATAGCCGAGAAGCAACCTATACAAAAACTCAATCTGTTCTTAATCTTCATTTAAATGCAATGTTTAATTAACAAATATAATGCATGCGTTAGCTGTGGAAATAAAAGTAAAACAGGATTGGCAACAACAAATAAGGGATTCATCATGTCTACTTCTAAATAAGGAAAAATAAAAAATTTGGGAAAGCAACGGATAGCTCGTAATTCGTGTGTTCCAATACTTACAATGATTTTACAATATTATGTAGGGATACACAGCGCGCAGCGCTGAGCACTACCACTACGTCAAATATCAAATGAGGCAAAAATGGCAAAACAGAGCAATCGCAAGCGAGAAAATACACTGACATATCACAGGTATCACTTATATTTTCCAACATTATAGACACCAGCACGTGGTTGATTTGAGGAACAGAGAGGGTGGGATGGGGGTTGTTGTAGTGTAAAGAAATTTTTTTTCTCAAAAAGCGATACATTTTTTACCGAGAAAAAATGCAGAACAGAAATCAGAAATCAACGAGGATGGACACCTACAACGTGGCACAGGTATAAAATAATAAAATAGTGCTACATGGCGATGATAATTCATTTAGGCTGTCCCAACAGTTATGCACTTTGGGACACTTCAAAATCTGGGAGATCTGTGTGAAAAACAAGCGTTGTAGAGTAATTTTAATCTCCGGATCAGTGCAGTACTCGACATACGCGCAGCTCAAATGCAAATATATAAACACACTACCAGTAGATGGAAGTGAGTGAGAAGAACATCTGCGGCAAAACGGAAGAAATCGTCGACGGCGGTCTGCAGATGCAGACTTTGCGTACGGTAACGCGTGTGTATGTGTACGACAACTACTGCGTCGGTGACGTAGCAGTGATCGTTGGACTGTCGTTTTGCTTACGCGTTTTGTACGTTTTCGGCGGCAACGGTGGCGGTGTGTCAGGAGATGCTGGTGACACGCTCGCACGGTGTAATGACGGACTGCCAGTGGTGCGCCTACAGAATGTGAATTATTCAACTTTAAAACTCCAATTTTTGATAAGAATTTACGCTTCTTTTTTTTTGAAAATATTGCATAAAGGATCCGAATGATTCTCTAACACATCAAAGCAGGCTCTCTTCTTTACTGCTATATAAGAAAACATACAGTTTTTTTCGTCAGGATAAAACATTTTCTTTTGATTTCTTTCAAAAATAGTGAAAATCGAAAGTTTTAACTCACGTTTTCGGCGGCAACGGTGGCGGCGTTTGTTGCGCGGCCGTACCACGTCGAGGTGGTAACGCTGGTGGCAAGGGTACGGACAAACATACGGTCGGTGAACTGGATTCACTGGTTGGCCTAAAGAAGTGGGAGATTTGGACCAAATCCAGAGATAAATCCAAAGTTGAAAAAAGGATTTTACCTGTCCAGAACCACCCGCAGTTGTTCGTTATTAGACATGGTCCCAGGTGTGGATGAGGATGACCCCATAGCAGAGTGTCGAGGCGGAAGAGCAGGAGGTGGTGGTGAGTATTGCGATTCCACCGTTGGAAACACAAAAGCTTGTGGAGCGTGATCTGCAAAACTTTCAATGAGCTCACTCGGCTAAAAACACTATGAATCCTCATTTGCTCAATGTATGTATGGCTTTTTAGAGGCTTTAGCTAGCCTAAAGTACCAACCTCCCGACATTCTCACGGGTGTTTGTGGGGATCGACTTGACGGGGATGAGTTGACGGGCACTGTCCGTCGTGGGTAAAGCGGTGGAGCTGTAGATGGCACTGGTGAAGTTAATGCTGACGATGGTGCTGTTATCGTCGCAGACCTCTGTGCCTTACGTGGAGCAAGTGGTGGGGGTTGGAGTTGGCCTAGAATGGTTAAT